TGCATGAGTCAACTTAGCCTTTTCTATATATAGAATAAACTTGCTTAATTAGACCTGCTTTCTGATTTAGCTAAAGTTTTTCTAGCCCAGGGAAGCACCCCAACTACTCTTTCAGGTAATTGTCAGCAGCACAGCAGTCAGTATCAACATGAAGCAAATTATTATTGTAGATCACACAAGGAGAAAAAAGGGTAAAATATTTAACTGCAGCAGTGTTGACTATATTCTGTGCAGTGAGAAAACCTGAAGTCATTGTCAGTGTCCACCATTTCTTACTTTTTTTCAGTCGGGTCAAGTTTCTAAGCTTTCTAAATCTCCGTTTTCCGGCTAATGAAAATAGAATTCCACTGAGTCTCCTATCTACCTACTCCAGGACTTCTGTGAGGATCGAATGGGATGAGGCATGGGAAAACGCATCACAGACATTTGGTTAAAGTGTAAAATGTTTAAACCTGGCTATAAAGCAAGTCATGTTCCTGGACTGAAGAAACTGAAAGGAGGTTAGTCGCTAGGGAGAGGATGCCGGGTGTTGCTACATGACATCATTACCGGACAGACACTTAGCATATTAGCCTTTTATATATATAGATAATTCCATACCAGACATAAAATTCCCTGAGTTGTGCAACCACCAGCACTATCACTTTAATAAATTTTTCTTTACTCCAAAAGGAAGTCCTGTACCCTCCAAGGGTTCTCTGGGTTTTTTCTTTAAAGTACACAATCATATATTTTGAAAAAAAATTACCCATTTTAAATTATAAAAATTATAAACAGGAAAAAATTCAGGACATCAGTAAGAACCCACCTCTGTTCATTCCCACTCTCCCAAGATAACTAACAGTTTTTGTGTTTTGTTTCAGAACTTTTTTGTGTATGTACATAAAAATATATGTGTCTAATTTTTTCCCAATGGAATCGTACTTTTAAAAAACCATTTAATATATTTTTGTCATTTAAAAAATATTAGGCCTGGCCGGTGTGGCTCAGTGGTTGAGTGTCAACCTTTGTACTGGGAGGTCACAGTTCGATTCCTGGTCAGAGCACATGCCCAGCTTGCAAGCTCAATCCCCAGTGTGGGGCATGCAGGAGACAGCTGACCAATGGTTCTCTCTTGTCATTGATGTTTCTGCCTCTCTCCCTTCCTCGCTGAAGTCAATTAAAAACTAAATAATAATAATAATTTATAAAAAATATCAGTATCATTCCTACTATTGTCCATTTTGCTCACAATGGTATTCCCAGTGCATAACATGGTGCCTGGCACAAATAAATATTCATTCCATGCATATTTTATCAGCTGCATCTTATCTAATACTAGAGGCCCAGTCTACTACCTCTCTTCCCCCTGTCGCCTGCTGCCGCAGCCACTGCCACCAGCCAGTGTACTCCCTCCCTTCCCTTGGCTTGCCCCACCCCCTGGTCAAACTCCCCGCTGAAGTCCCGGTTGAGGGGACAATTTGCATACTATGCTTTTATTATGTAGGATTAACAAAAACTATTTAATCAGTCTCTCATTGAATTGAATTTTTCTTTTGTGTTTTAGATTATGATGTGATGAACTCTTCATAAAAATATGTCTGTAGGATAGTTTCTTACAGTGGAATTTTGGAATTAAAGTCTAATGTGTATTTATAATTTTAATATATGCCACTGTTACGGACATACTGTTATTCTTTGTGGGATCCATTGGAATTTTGTCTAGATTTATAGATTAATTAGAGGAGAACCAATACTTTTTAAATTTAAAATGTTTTGTTTTAATAATCCTATGAATAGACAATCTGAATAGACCTATATCAAAGAAATTTAGTCATAATAACCTTCAGTATCATAAAGCACCTGGCCCAGGTGTATTCTACTGAACATTTTGTTTATTTTTCCATTGATTTTTATTTATCTATCTATATATATATAAGCCTAAGCGACTGTTCGACTGTTCGACCGTTCAACCATTCAACCGGTAACTATGATGCGTACTGACCACCACGGGGCAGACGCTCAACACACAGGCATGGAAACATGGAACAGACTGATGAATCTCAGAGAGAAGGGGAGAGGGGGGAGGGTGGGAAGAGATTAACCAAAGATCTTATATGCATACTAGAGGCCCAAAACCGGCAGTCCGACATCGCCTGAGCGGTCCTGGATTGAGAGAGGGCACAGGTCAGGCCTAGGGACCCCACTGGTGCACGAATCCATGCACCAGGCCTCTAGTTTAAGTATATTTTCATTGATTTCAGAGAGGAAGGGAGAGGGAGAGAGAGAGATACAAACATCAATGATGAGAGAGAATTGCTGATTGGCTGCCTCCTGCACGCTCCACACTGGGGATCAAGCCCACAAACCAAGCATGTGCCCCTGACTAGAATTGAACCTGGGACCCTTCAGTCCGCAGAGTCAAACCAGCTAGGGCTCTATTGATTTTTAGAGAGAGAGTAGAAGAGAGGGGGAGAGAGAGAGAGAGAAACATCAGTGTGAGAATTCTCTTTTTAAAGTCACCTGGGTCTGGCTTTTTTTGGAAGGAAAAAAATTTATTGATTTGGTTTATTAGTTAAAGGACTATTTTGACTTTATATTCTTGAGTCAATTTTAAAATATCTTTTTATTACGGAAAATTTCAAACATGGAAAAATGGAGCAAATCATGTAATGATCCCCCATATACCCAGCACCCAGTTTCTTAAGTCAATTTTGCTAAGCTTTATTTTTCCAGAATTTATCTATTTCATCTAAGTTCCCAAGTGTTTTCGACAAAGTTATACATAATATCTTCTCTCTTTTTTTTCATCTTTTTTTACCTTGAAAACATCTATAATTTTGTCCCTTTTCATTCTTGATGTTGGTTACTTGTGCTTTCTCTTTGTTTCCTTAATTTTCTTATCGGATGTTTGACAATATTAAAAGTCTTACTTATTTGGGGGGTGAGGGGTGGGGAAGGAGGCTGACCAGGAATCCAACTCCCAAATGTTTGTTTTACAGAAGGATGCTCCAAGCAACTAATCCAACTAGGGCTGGACTTTTATTATTATTATTATTATTTTTAA